AGTAGCTCCTGGCAGTACTACTAGTAACAAGAAGCTACTAGTAACAAACTAGTAACAATCAGCTACTAGTAGCTCCTGGCATTTCTACTAGTAACTAGAAGCTACTAGCAACAAGGTGCATCCCTACTAGTAGCAAGCAGCTACTAGTAGCTCCTGGCACTATTTCTAGTAACAAGAAGCTACTAGCAACAAGGTGCATCGCTACTAGTAGCAAGACGCTACTAGTAGCTCCTGGCAATTCTACTAGTAACAAGGTGCATCGCTACTAGTAGCAAGAAGCTACTAGTAGCTCCTGGCACTACTAGTAGCAAGAAGTAGCAAGAAGCTACTAGTAGCTCCTGGCATTGCTACTAGTAACAGAAGCTCCCAGAACAAACTAGTAGCAACAAGCTACTAGTAGCTCCTTGCATTTCTACTAGTAACAAGAAGCTACTTTCAACAAGGTACATCGCTACTAGTAGCAAGAAACTACTAGTAGCTCCTGGCAGTACTACTAGTAACAAGAAGCTACTAGTAACAATGTGCATCGCTACTAGTAGCAAGAATCTACTAGTAGCGATGCCTTGTTAGGAGTATCGCTGCCAGGCGAAGCCCTGCAATTTGCACCAGAGTTGTGGGGTGACGAAGAGCTTGTCTTGGCGGCCGTGGTGCAAACGGGCTCTGCAGTGCGGTTCGTGGACGAGAAGGTCGTGGAGAGAAACCCGGGACTTCTTGCCTTAAAGGAAGGAAGAGGTGCAGCCCTGTGTGGCAAATATTTTCTCTTGGAGGAGATCACAAAGTGGGATTATGGCTCTTTGTGGCTTGCAGAGGGATCGAGCTCTCAGAAAATGTTCACAATCAAAAAAATTCACGTGAACGAGAGAAGCTTTGACAATGGCCTTCCATTGGCCGTTATCCAACAGGAGATCTCCGTGTTGCAGTCGCTCAAGCACCAAAACATCGTCCAGCTTAACGACATTTTGGAGGTGGGCTATGACATTTGGCTGGTCTTCGAGTTCCTCCCACTCACTCTCTCCGAGACCCTCAAGGCTTTCGCAAGAAAACAGGAGATGATGCCCATGGAGACCTTGCGACGGCACAGTTCGGACCTCATGGAGGGTTTGGATGCATGTCATGCCAGGAGGATAGCGCATCGGAATTTGAATCCTTTGAGCATCCTCCTGACTCATGATGGTACCCTGAAGATCGCAGATATTGAGGTCGCGCAGGTGATGAACGCAGGTGGTGCCTACTATGATAAAGTAGTAGGGACCCTGTGGTACAGGGCACCCGAGTTGCTTTTGGGAGAGCAGCGCTACGGGCTTGAAGTCGACTGCTGGGCAGCTGGCTGCTTGATGGCGGAGATGGCCGCGATATGCCCGCTCTTCCCGGGGGATAGTGAGGTGGACACCCTCTTCAAAATCTTTCGCCTCCTTGGCTCCCCCAGCAACACCAATTGGCCGGGCGGGAAACAGCTGCCACATTGGAGAGAGAGGTATCCAAAGTGGAAAACCACTGGGCTCAAGCCCCTTTTGGATTCTCGCCCGGAGCTGCAAGAGGATGCTATCGACCTCATGAGGCAGCTCTTGTGCCTGGACCCGGTGCAACGCATGACCATGTGCCGCGCGAAGCGGCATCCCTTTGTGGAACCGACCGGCGCAGCGCCGAAGCATGAGTGAGCCGCGGGACCGACCAAGGTGCCCTGGAAGTCGCAAGAACCTCAAGAGTACTAGGAGCAAAGGGCATCGCTACTGTTCGGACGCTACTAGCAACTCCTGGCCGTACTACTAGGAACAAGAAGCATCTATCTTCATGTTTTCTTCCATCCTTTAGGAGGCTGGTCACCAGGTGTGTCAAATCTTTCTTTTGTGCAGTTTAATTCGGTGAAGGGTCACAAAGCCGATTCCAAGTGTTTTGATCTTCAACGTTCTCTCCTGCTTGCCACTACTCCTGGGAGTCATGTTTAGCTGTTTGCCCATTTCTATTTTTCGTTCGCTCAAATGGAGTCATGATCCTTCACCATGCTCCAAGTAAACAATGCTTGGAGATGCATAATGTGGTTTTGTGATCGCTGGGGTTGTCTCGAGGCAGTGGTTGCGTGATCCACGTTTGTTGACCTACATAGCAGGCAGATTAAGCATGACATGCACGTTGAATCTGAGTGCATCAAGCAAGCACTGCCACGTCCCGAGTCCTGAAAGCCCTGCAATAATTCTATCTTCCCAGACTGATTCATTTTACGATTCACTCCGCGCGGGCGCAGAGACTGCGCAAGCAGACACTTGCGTGTGGATACGTCCCTTTGCCGGGTGGCTTGAACGATCTCGAAGCGCGAAGCCGTGTGCTCTTACTAGGAACAAGTGCCTTACTAGTAGTAACAAGAAGCTACTAGGGGCTCCTGGCCTTACTACTAGGAACAAGGACGCTACGTTCGGGGCTCCGATCGCATCGTTACGAACGGAGCGATCGGACGCGAACCGAACGGTTTTTTCACACCGATCTTCCGGACTTCTCAGGCCCCGAGACCATCGCGATCGATCAACCGACCCTGCCAAGAAATTTGGGCGACACGGAGAACCTCCATGTCGCGAGAAAGGAAGGTGTGATCCAGAAGGCAAGGAGGAACATCCTTCAACCCTTCCGTGTGTTGAGCAGACGCAGATGACGCGTTCTGCGGGTTCTGTCGCCGAGGCATTGATGCGAAAGGAGGAGAAAATAGCCGAAGGGAATGGCACGCCTGGCACGACACCTCTGTTGCAAGATCCCAAGGTTGCCGATGAGATTTCTCCCTTGTCGAGTTTTCTTCTCGTGTTGGGAGGCTCTCAAGGATGAGGCGAGCGGCACGCGGTGGTGGACATGCTGATTCACGTGTTGTACAACACATCCTTCTCAGAAAATCCTGAAGTTGTTGGGAGAAGTATACACTTGTCACTCACAGCTTGCCACTCTTCAAGCACTTCAAGCACTGGCAAGTGAAGTTGCGCTGTTTCATTGAGGCTACAGAATAATCTACGTGTTAAAAGTTGCGCTCAGCTGCAGTGGCCCTCCAGCCACTCCAGTCTTCAAACAACATTGGTTGAGAGTGCCTTCGCAGCCTTCTGACATCAAGCCAGAATCTCACATTGCCTGTCATGTTTGCACGACCAGGCGCGGTGGGTTTCCTTCAAGTTGGCTAATGTTGCTAGGGTTAAGCGGCTGAGAGGCAACGGAACCCACATGTGGCATCTTTCTGCCACTGCCCTTAGATCCAGGTCTCAAGTAGTGTTACTATGCGAACAAAAGCCTGTTCAGGTGAGCTTGCTTCTCCAGACAGGAACATTTTGAAGAATTGTTTGACCTATCGAGAATGCCATTTGCAAAAACCCACCACACACCATCCTTGAGGCATGCTAGCCTTGCGCCGCGTAGTGCAGCAGGTGCAGGTGGGAGCGCGATGAAGGAGTCCTGCTCGGATTGAGAGATTCGAAGACAATATATCGGCAAAACAAAGCTCAACTCAAACTGTCCCGTGTTGGACAACTTTGGTGGAGGCCCTCACTAGTACTAGTAGGTCGGAGGCCATCACTATTCTAGGTTGGAGGCCAGACGTTTTGAGAGACACCCGACCTTTGGCCAAACAAACCAGGCGCGTCCTTCCTTGCGACGCGTGCCACGCTCTGCCGCGGCATCTGCGCTAGTGCTGGGTGCTGGCGTGGGTGGTTATTGTGCAAAGCCTGCATGGTGCAGGACCCAGAGTTATGTAGCACTGAGTAGGTTGGAGGCCATCGCTTGTAGGTTGTATGCACTGGAGAATCCATACTTATAAGTCTCAGGATCTTGTTCTCTTCTCCAGAGCCAGCGCCAAAGAAACCCTATGTAAGACAATGCGCACCGATCTCGGAGTATATGCGCAGAAGACATTTAAAACCTCATTGACAGGTAGCCTTCTTTCCACAAAACGCCTGAGGTGCACAGAAGATGTCGACTGGACTGCCGTGAAGAAGGAGATTGTAAAGATTTTGGACGACGACACGTACAAGGAGAGGTGATGAGCCTTACTTACAATCTCACAATCCCCCCGCATAGAAGCGGGTCTGCACACAAATCGAGCGATTTCCAGCGTGCATGTTTGTTTGGCTGACCGGCTCCTACCTTTTCCACCGGTAACTGGGTGGCTGAGAGGTCTCTGAGCTTTTTCGCTTGAGCCTGCTTAGGTTGGAGGCTATCGCTATCAGGTTGGAGGCCATCGCTATTAGGTCCCTATTGCTATTAGGTTAAAGGCAATCACAGTTGGGTTGGAGGCCATTGCTATTAGGTTGGAGGCATCGCTAATAGGTTCGAGGCTATCGCTATTAGGTCCCTTTTGCTATTGGTTGGAGGCCATTGCTCTTGCAAAACAATTCACGCTGCACGCCACGGACCTTGGGCAATTGGACCTTTGGCAACGACCTCCCAGTAAGGGCCGCTAGCGGGCCGCAGGCCCTGTAAGATGCCTACTGGCAACCTCCTCTCTACGAGGATTTGGCAAGCAACCCTGGATGTTCAATCTGAATCAACTCCGAAATCTGTGAAAGACTTCACGTCAACTCATCTCCTCTCCGGCAGGACTCCTCCTATGCAGGTGCCACGCCCGGGCCGCTCTTTCTGCGCCTGGCCTGGCACTCGGCAGGCACCTTCTGTGCGCAAACCAAGACGGGCGGGCCCGGTGGCCCAGCGGTACAATGGGATTTTCGTTTGGCCCGTTTTGAGGACCCGTGCCAAGACTTTCTGAACCATGTGTTCTCTTTCTTGTTCAGTTTCGTCCTAAACTTGACCTAAAGAGACACGCCCAGCGGGCCTCTTGGCATTCCGAACGCTCCAAAAGAACGCTCCCAAACGGTGCACGAAGCGTGCACTGCACGAGGTCCAACGGTGCCACGATGCGTTTCGAGCCGGAGCTCTCCTGGGGCGCCAATGCTGGGCTGAAGTTGGCACAAGACATGCTGGAACCAGTGACTTGGGAAGAGTCAAACTTTCGAGAAAGGAGGTCATCGCTACTAGGGAGGCCATCGCTCTTAGAACTAAAGGGGAAGTGAAGGGAAAGTCCCTTGGGTGAAAGTGGGACACCACATAGTGGCGGAAGTCGTTGGCGGACCATGAAGTCATGGTCATGAAGCTTAGATGCTTGTAGCACCATATAGGTCGATGCAAAATCAATGGTTCTGTGCATGACAGATCGGTTGATCGGAGTTGACTTCGGGGTCACCTTGTTGCTCAAACCCAACACAGGTTTGACGGCTTAGCCCTTTAGGTTTGAGAGCTGGCCTGTTGCTTCAGCAATCAAACGCGGAATTCTGGGAATGCCTCCTTGCTCCTAGCAGCGATGCCAGGAGCCCCTAGTAGCTTCTTGTTACTAGTAGCGATCTTGTTCCTAGCAGTACGGCCAGGAGCCCCTAGTAGCGTCCTTGCTCCTAGTAGCTTCTTGTTACTAGTAGCCACAGGTGAAGAAGAAGTTCCCCGCGGCGTCCTACGCGGATCTTTGGATCTTTGCCGCGTGCGTGGCCATTGAAGAGATGGGTGGCGAGAAGGCGGAGAGACGTGCCGTGATCCGGTGACGTCTTTTGCTTTAGCATGTGCGTTAGCACGTGGACTTGGCAGATAGATCGGGTACAATTCACTTATGCAAGAGAATTTGCACTGCAGCTATACTTTCTCTTCGGTCATTTGTGGGTTCGTTTCACAGATATCCTCCTTGTCTTATGTAGAAGTGGAACAGAGCTCCCCGCTTGGAACTTGGAACCTTCAGTGTTCCTGACTTTCTCTCTTTTCGGGGTTCCCAAGAACAGTCTGATTCAAACACATCGCTATTAGGTTGGAGGCCATCGTTAGTCGGAGCCAGGATGCTCCTAGTAGCTCCTGGCCTTACTACTAGGAACAAGAGGACGCTACGAACGGAGCTCCTGGGCATCGCTCCGAACGGAGCGATCGGACGCTCCTATAGGGAGGCCACATGGAGCGAGCCGCGACAGGTGCCCTTTGCGCCGGGACGGAAGGACAAAGCCAGTGGTGCTGAATGTCCAGCCTGGGATGGACCCACATGCAAGGAGGGGTGACGAGACATCGGGAGCGGGGGTGACTACCGGAAAGGCAATAGAAACATTCATAGCAATAGAAACCCAATAGCGATGGCCTCCAACCTGAGAGCAAACTCTTTCAAACAAATGCATGTTTTTTGTGTCGTTAAACCAGAAACAGCATGAAACAGACAAGGAGGGAAGTAGAATCAAGTAGAAGATGTCCGTTAGCCTATTGTAATCGACAAGAAATCTTGAAAATCAAAACCTCTTTGAGGAATAGCCCTTAAGAACACCTTTTGAGTTTTGACACGCATGTGCCTTTTGTGCTTGTTGTGCTTGTTTGTAGGAAGGACGCGAGTAGGTGGAGGCCATCGCTATTAAGTTGGAGGCCATCGCTACTGGGAACAACGACGCTACTAGGGGCTCCTGGGCTCCTGGGCATCGCCTCCAGGAACAAGGACGCTACTAGTAGGTGAACGACCTGAGGACGGCCGCCTGCCAAGCGCCGACATGGGGAGCCCCGACAAGACCGCCACCCATTTGCGTCTGATCTTCAACCGTTTCTCGGCGAAGCAAAAGGCAAGCGAGGTGGTGGTTTCAGCCAGAAGTAGTGTGGAACCTCTTCTTGAACGCTTTCGCATTCAGCATTTCATGCATTACATGTGCATGTGCTTGTCGGATTTCTCACTTTCATGTCCTGTGGCCATCAGGGCCCTTGAAGCCTAGCAGGTTACGACCCAAACGAAGCGTTGAAACAGGTGCGGAACTCGTTCGCCGTTCTACCTGAACAAGCAGATTGGTAGCGGAGCTGGACACGATCTAGCTTGTCGGCTCCTTCGGTGACCTACGTCAGTGTGGTGCTCTTCGTTTTCTTGCTGAAAGACGAGGGTAAGCTCATCACCTATGTCGGCTACGGAGCGGGGGAGCCCCAGAAGAACCCCCGTGAGGAGAGCGAGAACTTCGCAATCCGAGGCCGTGAACCCAAGGCCCAGGCCTGCTGGAGGAGGACGAGGTTTGTTCGCTCAGGTGGAGGAACAGCCGTTGCAGTTGCCTTTCACCCCAAGTCACCGAGGAGGTTTGGATTCAGGCTTAGCCAAAGCCTGCCCGGATGCAGAGGGATTGAACCAAAAGTCATATCGTAGCTACAGAAGACGGCTTGAGTTGTTCGAGAAACAATGTGAACGACGAGGGCACGAAACTATGGTCGAAGGTGCCTACCTGGTGGTAAGCAGGTTGAAAGACGTCGCATGGGACGCCACGGAGCAGCTCGACTTTGACGACATCGAGAATGCCACAAAGCCCTTCAAGGCCGTGTTTCGCTTGCTGGATGAGCTGTATCAGTATGAGGATTTGATTGAGGTTCCCTCTCGCTGCGACGAGTTCTTCTCAGAGTTTGGTCGCAACAAAGGAGAAGAACTCCAGGCCTATCTCATCCGCCACAAGACGCTCCTGAAGCGGATGAAGGAAGTGAATGTGGAGGTGCCACCACTCCTTTCCGGATGGCATCTACTCACTCGTGCAGGTGTTCCGCGTTGGACCCACGTCCAGATCAAGGCCATGTGTTCAGGCGACCTGGAGTACGAGAAAGTCGGAAAAGCCTTGATCCGAATGTTCGGAGGCGATCACCGACCAAATGCACGAGATCTCGTTCGTGGTGGCGCAAATGCCAAGGATGAGGCCTACTATGAAGAAGAAGCCGAAGAAGAATGGTATGATGAGTTCATGGTGGAAGATGGCTATGAACCTGAGTGGTATGACGATGAGGCCTACTTCGAAGAGGATGAAGAGATCCCTGAAGAGCTCGAAGAGGCAATGGAGTTGACTGACGAAGTATACGTCAGCTATGTGGAGAGCCGCAAGAGGATGAAGGAACTCGCCTTGTCGAGGGGATTTTACCCCGTGGTTGCACTCGGCCCGGACTTCGAGAAGAGCAATTACAAAGGAGGCAAGGGAGACAGCGGCAAAGGTGGAAAAGGAAAAGGAAAGAATGGTGGAGGAAAAGGAAAGGGCAAGTCAAAAGGAAAGGGTGGAGGATT